CCAGTGGGTCCTCATGTCACAGGAGGAGATAAGGTAGGTCTAGCAGGACCTGCCTTTCATAGAGACATGCTGACCTGTGTTGCCCTTCTGCATCAGCTGTAATGGGAAGCTTTTATCCATCTCAGCAGATCAGTGTCTGTGTGAAATGCAGCCATAAATGAGTATCACCTCCACCTGACTAAAGCCAACAAATGTGGTAGGTCAGCAAGTGATTACAGCAATGGTGTTGTAGTCAGGGTTGGTACTCAGACCGTGGGATTCACTCTGGCCTGGTCTGCTCGGGGCTGATGGGGTCTATCTGACAAAGAAGGGAATCATTATTTTTGGTTTAGGACTCGCCAGATGATTGAAGGGGCTTTAAACTAGGTTTAAACTGGGTTTGAGAAGATTTCTACGTATAATTCTGTTCACTCAAAGTAAGGAGCACTAGCCCTGAGTTTCACTGACTGCCACTGGGAATGATTCTCCTGCATTTCCTTTAGCCAAGCATGTCTCTAATGCTTCAAAAATGGCTCATCTTGTTTCTTCCCTCTGATCTCAGGTTCTTTTCTTACCATGCAAGTACTGGTCTGGAATCAGCATAGGCCTAGCCCTGGTCCCACAGATCTTGCAGAATAATTTAGGAGAAGGGCACATAATGGTTGTTTTGACTGTCTCATTCCTAATGTGAAATGACAGTTCTGCTTAATGGGTGTTATCGAATCACTGGCTTTGCATAAACTCCGTTACCCATATGGAGGGGTATTAATCTATGCCTAGCACCTGAAACAAGATTTTAAGTTTAAAAGCTCTATCTAGATCTCTATATTTAGCTCTTCCTGTTTCAGAGATACTCAGCTTGTAAATTCCTATGCTTCTATTTTATATAAATCCTATTTCAGGTATTTGCATTTCAAATTTGGTTGGATTTATGCAAAAGGCTCTGCATACTGTAAGGCAGCTTGGTTTGGAGGCCTCCCACTGAAAAGTGGCAATGAAGTTCCATGCATGCTCCACAAAATGTGCAAGAGATGATCACTTCTCAGAGTGCTATTTTCCCACTGTGACTAATGCCCCATTCCAGCCCCACCAGCCATCCTTGCCAGTGCAAATCACTGTAATTAAAGCATGGAGCTATACCCACAGATAGGGATGCCAAGAACACTTAGCAACCTATGACTCAGTCCAGCAGATTAAGATAATACATTCTATCCATAAAGAAAAGCATGCTTTTAGTGTACTACTAATGTTTTTCTTTCTGAAAGGGAGGGAATTTCCTGCACAGGGCTCTCCTCTCCTCTAAGGGAAATAGCCCTTTAGAGATGATCATTCAAAGAGCCTGTACCCAGCCCAGCCAGTCCTCAGGGTCAATGAACTCAGACAAAACCACTTCACTTCTTGCTCCTGCATGAGCCACAGTGACCTCAATTTAGCTGAAGGGTGCTCACTCATTCTTGACCACATGCAGTGATGTTTCTTGCAGCAGGGCTGGTTTCTGTCTCTGATAGAGGAGGAGCACTTCTAACACTGCTGGGAGGCAGGGAGTGTCTGCAATGCTTCCTAATATTATTACAGCAGGGAGAATCTGCAGAGATCCTGCAAAGGGAAGGTTTGCATGGAAGTTACTGATCACTGTAACACCCTCCTTCTCTGGGGAAACAAAGGATAGAGCTGCAGGTGGAACCCAAGGGAGCTCAAGGTACTTTATGGCTGTAGTTTAGGGAAATCAGCACCCAAAGAACAGCTGTCAGGGAATTTGTCTCCTGCTTGCAAGGCCTTGTGATATGGCTGGACGTGCTGTGGAACACAAAAAGAGAGAACCAGGGCACCTACTGCCAGCTGTCCTCTAGCCCTAGCGAAGGAAGGAAGCCAGTCTCTGTTCTTTTCACCACCTGGAATAAGACAGGGCTGTTGGCCGAGGTTGTAGGGACACCTTAGCTGGATTATAAAACACTGATACTGACCTGATGATCCAGATCAGTGGAGTCCCATCAGCTTGGATAGGAGCCATCAAACCTATTCTAGTGGTAGGTTTTTCCAGTTTTTCCTCTTTGTGAGGATCTTTCAGAGCTGGACAAGGAGAGGACAGTGGGCTGTGTGCACTGGGGGAACAAAAGCCTGTTAAGGAAATTTCCCAGTCTGACTAATGAGACCCTCTGACTCTCACACTTCCAGTGCCAGAGATTTTACTGCTGGTACCGAGGCCCCTTCCCAACAGTGGCTCCAGTGAGCCCGTGGGTTGCTCCTCCACACCCCTCACACGCAGTCAGACCAGATTTCCCATGGCAGAGTCTCAGATGTCTCATTCAATAAAGCCATTTATTCCTGGTGCAGTCCTGTGGCTGTGGCAGGCACCATGATATTCTTATCATTCCTTAGCAGCCCGTTGCCTGTTGTTACTTTTAAGAGCAGAAATTCCATAATGCAAATAAGATAGAATGCTTATGACTATATTTGCATGTTTTGACAAGCATTAACTTCATTTAAATGGAAGTTACAAATGCTTAGACTTTCAGCCTGGCAAGCCTTAAAGGATGTCCTTGGCTGGCATCTCCCTGAGGCACAGGTCAGCCAGCCTTGGCTGCTTCTGCTTGGTGGCACCCAGAGCTATGTGAGGCTAAACTCTGCCATTTAGCTACTTCCTGCCATTATCTGGGCTTGCATTGGCTGGGGACTAGGACAAGAAATAAAACAACTAAAAGAGAGTCCTTGGATGCCATTCTTGCTGCTTCCTTGGCTCTGGCTTCCCTATATCCCTCTCTCTGGCTTCTGCCTGGTGTGCCTGTGCCGAGCCCGTCCCACACTTTTCTCTGCTGTCATCCACTGAGGCACACTGGTGTGCATGTGTTGAGGATTGGGCCACAAGTACAAGTTTCTGTAGGAAGAAAGGCAAGGTTTTTCAAAGACTGCACATACAAAGATCCAAGTTTATTTGTGCAGCAAAATAATGTTAATGTAGGATTGCCTAAATAGTCCCTTTGAAATTTTGAGTGTAAACGTGCAAAGTCAGTAAAGCACAAATTTGGTTCATTTTTGCAGCAGGAAAGGAGAAGATTCCTCATAATCTAACCTAAACATATACAGTGATCACCATTCTTTTCTTTCCTCACGCTGTTCTCATTCCTTGCAGTTGTGGGCTGCCAGGGCAGGTGTGTGGGCTCCTGTGTGTGTGACACGGTGGCAGCAGGTGGCAGTGTGTGGGCTCCTGTGTGTGTGACACGGTGGCAGCAGGTGGCAGTGTGTGGGCTCCTGTGTGTGTGACACGGTGGCAGCAGGTGGCAGCAGGATCCCACCGGCTCCCGGCACGAACCCATCCGCAGGGCATGGGCTGGGAGCCGCGGCCGCCCGGGCAGGTGCGGGCGGAGCGGTGAGAGCTGCGGGGACACCTGTGCTGCCTGGGGACACCGGGAATGTGCGGTGTCCCATTGGAATGTGCGGTGTTCCCATTGGAATGTGCGGTGTTCCATTGGAATGTGCGGTGTTCCCTATGGGAATGTGCGGTGTTCCCATTGGAATGTGCGGTGTCCCGTTGGAATGTGCGGTGTCCCATTGGAATGTGCGGTGTTCCCTATGGGAATGTGCGGTGTCCCCTATGGGAATGTGCGGTGTTCCCATTGGAATGTGCGGTGTCCCATTGGAATGTGCGGTGTCCCCATTGGAATGTGCGGTGTCCCCTATGGGAATGTGCGGTGTTCCCATTGGAATGTGCGGTGTCCCATTGGAATGTGCGGTGTTCCATTGGAATGTGCGGTGTCCCATTGGAATGTGCGGTGTCCCATTGGAATGCGCGGTGTCCCATTGGAATGTGCGGTGTCCCGTTGGAATTTGGCTGCCCGGGGCGCTGGATGGAGTTCGGAGCCCGGGCACTGCGGGCTCAGCCTGGCTCCGGCTCTGTGTCTTTGTCACCTGCCGAGGCACCGGTGCCACTAGGTGGGGATAAACGCCTTCAGGCCGAAGGGAAAAAGTGCCACAAGTAAGGGCAGGAATCTGCTGCCTTTATTGTGTCACCTGCAGAGCAGAGAGGGGAGAGCCGGCTGTGGGACTGTCACCCCCGCTGTGGGACTGTCACCCCTGCTGTGGGACTGTCACCCCTGCTGTGGGACTGTCACCCCCGCTGTGGGACTGTCCCCCGGAGAGAGGAGAGGCTGTGTGTGGGACCATTTGTCACATTGCCACCCTGGGAACTGATGCAGAATCGTTCTGTGCTGCCGAGCCTAACTCACCTCAATGCACTGGGCAGCCAGTGGGGTCAGAAATCTGGGAAAGTCAGGTATTTCCCAGAGGTGGGATATTACATTTGGAATGGCAGCCTGCCACCCAGCATAGGAGAGAGTCTTCTCGTGATGATTATCAAACCACCATTAATAAATTTACTGTCTTTTGGCAAAAGGAAAACATGTTTCACTCAACTATTTTTTACCCGAATCTCACTCTGTAAATGAAACTGCTGGGAGACTGATGTGAGGACTGTGTTATAAAAGCTCACCTGACTCCAGCTGATAGTTGGGATCCAGGTACTTGCTTCCATGGTAGGAACAGAAGTTCACCATGTGGATGGTGCCTTTTGACCGTTCTTCTACTTCAAAAGTCAATGAAAAGTGTACAAACCCCATCTTTTCCAGTCTGCTCAGCCTTGCACCCCATCATGCTGTTTTAAACAATGCTGCAATCTGTTGCCTTGCAAAGCAGCTGTGGAAGGGAATTCTGGGGCTGGAGGACAAGGCTCAACGAACAGACAAAACAGTTCTTTGTAATAAGAAAGACAACAGATATTGTTTTTTGCCCTTTGGCAGTGCAACCTTTTTGTAATTAAATTATCAGGTTAAAATAAAGCTCTTTTAATTATTTAAGGACTAAGACAAAAGTACAGTTGAATAAATTATTCATCGTGCTACAAATAGTTATTTTAATTCTAAGTACTGTAACATTTTTCAGGGGATCATTATTTATTTGCACTCCTCAGTGAGCGTTTCGTTAAGTTTGAAGTTGTAACCCCAGATTTTCTTGTTGTTTTCTTGCAGGTAAGTCTGGATTGGTCTGTTTGAACTGTGCAGCTTGGGAATGTAAGTGAACAAAGTAAGCCTTCTGCAAGCTGTCCCAGCCTGTTAACAAGGTCAGAGTATTTTTCTTTTTTGAGATCTAATACTGTAAATTAAAATTAAGATAGAATGGATACTGTAATTGCAGATTGCTATGGCTGTGAGACACAATGGGATCTTTATGTCAGCTGTGAATGTCACAGAACAAATATGTGTACTGAGAACTATTAATGCAGGCTGCTGTTTCTCTGGCCCATCCTTTAATTAGGACTGGGCAGGGACAATATAAAATATTTCTGTTGCTGACATTTTAGAGTGTAATACAACGTTTTACACTATTTTTTTGTTGATCATTTAGATGGGTTCTCTACTTATGACAATTCCCAGATATAAAACTTACAGTACCTTCACTTGAATAGGGCCAAGTTAACAGGTCATACTCTAAAAAGCTTATTTTGTGAATCATTCAGAGCTGATTATCTTTTTTTAATCACCTGGCAGCAGGACCTTGCTAGAAGTCACTAAAATGCTCTTACTGGACTGGCATGCCATGCTTCCCACCTCAGCCAGAGTGCTTCCCTTGCAAGCTCCAAGCACTGGAATGAGGGGCTCCATTCAGACAGAGACATGTTTATTGTATCAGAGTTGAAAATTATTTCCTTTGAAATTTTCTTCCTCTTTTTCTCCCTCCCATTATCTCCAGGAACAACTACATTCACATTCTGGTGTTGTCTCTGTAAATCAAACTATGGCTTCTTTCCAAATCCACACTGTCAAGGATTTTCTTGTCCTAATCCATGATTCCTGTGCATGTACCAGTAACAAAAAAACTTTCAGCAATATTTCCGTACACCCATGTTGTGGTATCTTTTCAGATCAGTGCTGTTATAATGCAAATTGCAGAACAGATATTGAAGATCAATATACAGAAAATGGTACACAATGCATGTTATCTTGCAGTCATTTGGGAATTTTAAAACTCTTCACTATCCAAAATACAGTTTTTTCATATTTCAAGTAGATATAGCAAAATTATTGTCCTCAAATTACTGATTAATTCTGAACTACTCTAGATTTTGTGCATTTGGTTATGTTTCAATTACAATTCAGATCTGCCAGCAAAATGTTATATGAGTGCTGAGAAACTTCTTATACTTGGCTTTTCCCACTTCCTTTTTTCCTTCCCATTTTCTCCTTTTCCCTTTCCCTTTTCTCTTTCCTTTTCCCCTTCTGTTGACTGATGTTAGGATGGTTTTTATCAACTGAGAAAAGAAGTCATGTGTTCTTTGCATCTGTTGCACCACTACCCTTTTGAGCATGAGAGATCAAGGGACTATTTCCCCAGGCTAGTGAGTGCCTCCCTTCTGAAGTGATAGCTGAGGTCAGCCAAATGTATACCTGGATTCACATATGCTACATTCCCGTCTCTTACTTCTTTTCTCCTGAAAGATGACAATGGCTTTGGTCATGCTCACCCATCTGTTTGGACATCTTAGACATAACAACCTCACTACACATTTACATCCACTTTTGAACAGCTTCTGGCTACCAGCTTTATAACTCAGCTTGCATCCTGCATTTGCTTCAGGCCATGCCATTCACTGCAGAAGTTTTACTACTTTGTTTTAAGGTTGCTCCTTTGATGCCTTTTGATTCCATCTATGCATTTTTGGCTTTTGAAATCAGTTTGATTTCCAAAACCTCGCTGAGCAGATTCTTTTCCTCTGCAGCAGTTACCAGCCTCTAATACTTCTGTGTACCCTTGACTCTGTCATGACACGTGATAATTCTGTGCCTTTTTAAATGTGCTGTGCTGAGCTCATGCCTTAGGTACCTTGCTGTGTTCTCCCTCCACATTCCTTAGCTCACCCAGCAGCCTTGGCTTGGAGAGTTTTGCACAGGGACCAGTTTCCACACTCCTTAAACAATTTTTTCATTGCCTCCAAGGGCAGTAAGCATCACTTTGAACCAGGCACACTGTGCTGTAATAAATAGGCTGTGTGGTGTATTTTTAGGAACTCTGGAACTACTGGGGTCAGAGGGGTTGAATGTGGAAACACCATCCATCACACCTCATTGCCATGAACAGCAGACTTGTATTTCAGCACTTCTGTTTGAAATGCACGTCTGTCTCAAAGGTTTTTAGATGTAAGTATGAATGCTGCCAAATAAAAATAAAGCCTTTGAAATAAACATCTAATGTAGCCAAAGTTATCAGCAGTATTATGGAAAGAAGCTCCAATTTAAAGAAACATACAAAAAATGACTTCCTGTAGATCTACTGAAGCTGAAATTGGTATTCAATTCATATGCTCTTTCCATTGGGTGCAAAAAGATGATGAGGATTTAGGAGAGAAATTAAAAGGGAATGCTTTTGAAAATGCTGTCCATAAACAGCCAGCATCTGCCCCAGTATCTGTCTCAGAACTCTGCACCATGGAAGATTTTGTGAGGTTTTAGAATTTAATTTTTAATTACATTCTTACTGCATCATTTTGTATGACCCCATTATATTGCTCTGTGTGAATTTTATTCATGGAATAAATTGGCCCAAAATTAATCTTTATCAGCAATTGAGAAAATACTGAGAACATTAAAGAAAATATTGAAAGAGCTGGAACTGACAGATTTGCCTTACCAGAGCTATATTTAAAAAGGATGCACACACGAAGAATCCAAGGCATAATGAAGCCTCCTACACACACCATGGAATAAAATATTTATACTGTAATCATGCTATTAATAAAATGATGGCTCAGCCAGTGTCTGCTGCAACAAAACTCAACTGAGAGCCTGATTACTGTCTAGATGGGGCAAAGCAATGTAAGAACTGAGGACCAGAATCATATGGACTAACTTGGGAATCCCTATTCTGATTTAGCTGTCCAGTTGTGTAATACCCTGACTTTCAAAAAGTCTCCCATGGCAGCTGGCACTGTCTTATTAATTTTGGTGTGCAGGTGTGCAGGGCTGGGGAGCAGAGGAAAGGTGCTGGGGGGGTTGTGCAGCGATCTCCTTGTTTCCAGTTGTTGTTGAAGGTAATTCTAGGGCCATCAGGAATGGTTGGGCTTGATCAGACAGGGCAATCTCGGGGGCTTTGCTGTCAGTTGCTACCCTTGTCAGAGTGCTGCTGTGCTACCAAACTGGTCATTTTCTCCTCTTTGGGCTTAGTCCAGTTTCCAAGGTTTAAAGAAAACGATGAAAACCCAGGAGGTGTTTGTAGGGGCAAAATAACAGGTAGAAATGAGAGGAACAGTTCATCTGCACTGTGAATGACACCGGGGGGCCAAGTCTTAGATGTGCCCTTAAGGGTAGCTGTACAGAAAAGTTTAACTAACAAATAGATACTGCTCGGTGCTTTTCCTATTGCTGTCATGGTTCCTGCTTTCTGATGTGTGAGTTCACTTTGGGATCTCTCCTTGTTTGCTGGGAGCAGAAGGGAGGTGTAGCTCACAGGTGAGGTGATGGCACTGGCAGGAGCCATTTGTCTGTGTGCTCCCCAGCGTTTTGGCCAACACATTACCTGCCAGAGGCATCTTGATGCCCAGTTTTGCAGCAGCTCGAACTTTATCCACTGTCAGAGCATGCCAGGTATCCCTGGACAGAGAGGAGGAGCAGGGGCAGCAGTGCCCCATCTCCTCTCATGTGCCTGGCTGAATTGGATAGTGGTAGCTGGAAATTCTCCTCCCAGAACACTCGTGTGTTTCTTTGTAGACAGGAGTGGTTTCCTGAACAGTGGATTGCTCAGGCTCAGAAAAGAACAACTGAAAATTATATTTAGAGTTTGTTACAAATATGATCTATTGCTGTGAGAAGGTTACAGCAGGAAACACACAGCCTGCAGCTTTGTTCTGTCGGCTTGCCCAGGCTAAATAAGTTTTGATTGGAGTTTATTGGAGTAGGTTCTCTTTACTCTCTCTCCTCCTGTCTCTCCCCGAAGACACTGTTACTGGTGGATTGGGCTGGTCAGAGAACAGCTGGGAAGTGCTCTAGGTTTAAAAAATTGCTCCTTTTTTTGCCTGAAAAAAGAGGAAACCTCGTGTAGCCTCCAGGAATTGGTGTGCAGAGCAACCAATAACTCAGGAGCAGAAGTATCAGAAAGGGAAGGCAATCTGTCAAAGTCCCTTGTCTGCTTTCCCGGGGTGGGAAAGGCTCCCTGACTGGACTTGTGTGCAGAGCAAGGGCATTTCTCTGCTCCACATGGGATAAAGCAGAACTTGGACTTCACCTCTTGAATCCAAGCAGGGAGAGTCACAGAACTAAGGAATGGTTTGGGTTGGAAGGGGACTTCAAAGGACATGTAGTTCCAGAGTCCCTGCAGTGGGCAGGGTCACCTCCCACTGTCCCAGGCTGCTCCAAGCCCTGTCCCTTCCAGGGATCCAGGGGCAGCCACAGCTGCTCTGGGCACCTGTGCCAGGGCCTCCCCACCCTCACAGGGAAGAACTTTCTCCTACTATCTAATCTAAACCTACCTTCAATTTGAACCTATTCCCTCTTTGTCCTGTAACTCCAGGCTCTTGTAAACAGTCTTGCCCCATCTTTTGTGTAAGTTCCCTTCAGGCACTGGAAGGCCACAATTGGGTCTCTGAAGACTTCTCTTTTCTAGGATGGACAATCTCAATTCTCTCAGCCTTTCCTCATAGGAAAGGTGCCCCATCCCTCTGAGGAAAGGAGGATGCCTTGGCATGCCAAAGAGGTGGGCTGCTCTGGAAATTCAGCTTTCTTTAAAAAAAAGAAAAAAAAATCCATTTCTGTGGAACATTTTATTTTCTACTTAAAAAGAAAAATAAATATATATATTAATTGGTTATGTTGGTGGATCAGCTGAGAGCATCAGCAAACCAGAAAAGAGGTACAAGGGGACTGGAACTGTGAGAAATCCCCTTTCCCAAACAGAAATAAATTAATTTTCAATACTTATTGGCATCACCCAGCTCATTTCATTTTTAGTAGGGGCAGAGATTTTAAACCTCACCAAAAATGAGATGAAGTTACTTTCTTCTTTTTACTCTCTGTCCCAGTCCATTTCCTTGAGGTAGTGTTTCTTTCTTTGGTTTTCTGTACTCAACCATTA